AACTAGCAGTTATCAGTGTTGTCTTGTTTTGAGCATGTCGCAAAAGTCAGAATTCACATCTGACCTTCTGACATCAGTCCAATACACTCACTGCTGCATTTGATTTCCTTTTTTTTTTTTTTTAAAGAAAAATGGGAATGTGAGATTCATTACATTCTGTCTACATACCTGGCATTATGCTAGAATTTTTATTTCTGCTCATGCCAACTCATTCATTTACCTTAATAGATTTGGGTTATGTCCATCTGCTGTGACAGAATGCAAGCTCCTTGAGGTTGGAAAAGAATTGTGCTTGTCATTGTCACCATTTAGACCCTCAGTGCACGTAGTGAGCACCCAGAAAGTCAACCAAATGACAGCAATTCCTACAACCCTCTATAGTGTCTGATGCCATCCCCAGTTTACGAAAAAAGAACCCTGAGACTCAGAGGGGAGTTGCAACCCAAATTTCACAAAGGGGACTCATTCTGTTATGTAAAGGGCCACTGAGCTGTCAAGGCACATTCTGTAACATCATCCTGTTTGGTTTTCACCAAGCACTCTGTGAATTTATATCTGCCTTAATGTCAAAGCAGAATCTGAGAAGGACAAATAAAGCAATTCCTTTTATTTCAAGGACAAAAATAAAGAATGAAATTATTTGGGGGGAGGGAAGCAATAGGGAGCACAGCCTGAGGCTGAATGGTAAAGGAGCATCTCAGGTTTCTGTTCCCATGCCTCATCCTAGTCCTCAGCGAGTCTCTTCCACTCACACAGACCCCTCTGCCAAGGAGAACCTGAGTGCTCACGTGCTGTGTTACCATCAGTTAGCACCCCGTAAACATCAAGGTCGCTCAGTGCAGGGCCCTTCCATTAAAATGGGTAAAAGCTCACAAACCAGCTTGTAAAGGGCCAGTGGAGGGCAGCCCAGCCATCAGCCAGCTTTAGCTTCATGCCAAGAGAGCATTCTAGTGTAAACCAGCAAGGAAGTGGGTGTTTTAGATGGTCAGAGCACAGTCTCCAAATGCAAAGAATGAGACCAAACGTCTGGGAAACTCTCCCTGGAGGATTCCATTTCTTCTCACATGTATCCAGGGTCTGGCTTGGATGTAACAAAGGAGAAGCAGCAGGACCAGCAATAGATAGGAAAGAGCAGCTGGAAGGAAAGCTTCTGTGGGTTACATAAGTGTTGCTTTTTCTCAGGCTATTTCCTTGTCTGCAAAATACCTATCTTGCAGTACTACATTATTCTGAGGATTGTCAAAGCAGAAAATGCCCACATGACCCTATAGAGTGTCCTTATATTACCTGGGTTTCAGTATCCTCACCTCTAAGAAAGATAAAATCCAGATAGTCTTGCAACATTATTGTGATAGTTAAGTGAGAAATGGTATATGCAGTGTGCTTTGCAAACTGCAAAACCTGATGTAAGTGTTAGTTAAGCCAAAAATGGCCTTCACACACATTACCTCATTTATTGTAACACCAAACCTGTGAGATTATTGAAGTGGGAATTATTGTTCCCATTTTACAGAAATGGAAAGCAGGGCTCGATAGATTGCTTCATATGCAACTTGAAGATCTTTCAGCCAATAAGTGGCAAAGCCATGGGTAGATTCCAGGTCAGTCTGATTCTAAAGCCCATTATTTTAATCCATTGCATGTAATCCAAAACATGCAGACATAACTAGTGGCTACAGATTATTCGGATAATCTTTGGAATATCAGTATCAGTTTGCACGTTATTTAGAATATGATCTTTGGGTGACAGAGACTTTATTTTACTGACTTCTGTATTTCTAGCTCCAAGTACAGCTTCTAACACATAGTAGTCATGTGTGGAAGAGTCTTCAAAGGATAAATGAATCAGTATGCATTTATTGATACCGCTGATATATCAAGCACGAAGTACCCTCTGAAATGGGTGCTGTCACGATCCTTATCTTACAGAGGAAGAAAATGAAGCTCAGAACAATTGAGCAGGTCACGTAGCTGGCAGCACTGAGATTTGGAATCTCATCTGATTCCAAGTCTTCCTCCCATCTGTCTGCACTACCTCCAGATGGGCTAATAAATGAATGGAGTAAAGTCTGCCTTCTGTATCTATGGGGTCCACATCTGTGAATTAAACCAACAGCAGATTGAAAACACTCAAAAACTTTTCCCATCTGTACTAAAAGTATACAGACTTTTTCCCTTATCATTATATCTAAATAATACAGTATAGCATCTATTAACATTGTATAAGTAGGCATGGTGAGTAATCTAGAGATGATGTAAAGTACATGGGAGGGTGTAGGTAGGTGAGCTACATACACGATGCTATCTGATATAGGGGACTTGAGCATCCATGGATTTTAGTATTTGAGGTAAGTCCTAGAATCAATCTGCCTTGGATGCTGAGGGACAACTGTACCTGATCACTAAGATCTAAAGTCCCCCAAGTGAGTGCAGGACAAAGCCTGCTACTTCTTCTCTTGGCCCCTTATGAGCTCCATGTGTGCTGCTGCCCCTAGACCCTACCCACTGGGCCCAGAAGCCTGGGCCTCTCCGGGCTCACACCTCAGTGAACAGAAGTGCTGTGTGCTGTTTACTTTCACACCATCAACCGACAGCTGGAAAAAAGTGCTGAGTAAACCCAAACAAACAATAAGCTGATCTTCTTTCCCTAAACTCTCAGAGGAAAGCTCAGGCCAGGCTCACGCCCAGCCTTCAGAGTCACCAGGAGGTCACTGCCCTTTCCAAGTTGTGCGCAAGTGGTGATAGTTTCAGACAGGACCTACGGAGGCCTGGGGCCTGAAGATTGACACTCTGTCTTCAGGAAAGCCTAAGGAACCTTCTGAAGGGAACCTGAACATCTTCCTGGAGGGTCACTGGATAGACAGTGCCTCTTAGCTCCATAATCCCACCCTTGTGTAGGACATTTTCCTACAGACAGGTCACAGGGAGAGCAGAGAGGCAAGCCTGGCTGAGCAACACGTGCACAAAGTGCCTTTCATCCTCTCACCTGTTGCCATGGTTCAACACTATCAAACAAGCCTTATTTAGGGAATATCTTCTATGCCAGCACTTGTGCTGGTTCAGTGATAGAGGTGATCAAAGGAAGGAGCCCTAGCCTCACGATGTTCCTGGCCTGACAGTGAGACAGGCACAGAAAATCACTGTAGCATGCGATATGGGATGGGAAAGAGCAAGAGAATAATCATAAGGTGAATCACAGTAGACTTCTCAGCAGGCAGGGCATGCAAGCCAAGCCCTGGGATAGACCATGTATAACATGGGGGTGCAGGGGTAACTGTATCATAGAATCCCACAGTTCTGAGCTTGAAGGACCTTACACACTTTTAGGTTCCCCCTGAAATAGATGAGAAAACTGATACCCACAGAGAGGTAATGACCTTTCCTTCCTAACAGATCAGTGACTGAGCAGGCACCAACCACACAAACCTCTTCGGACTCCCAGTCTAAAGCTTAGTGTCCTGACCTCAATTTTAGGAATACTTTCTAGAGTTACTTGATCTTCACTAAGGCTTTTTGTGTTGTCTACTTCAACGACTGCTCACTACAGCTCACCAGGGGAACAGAGAAGAGCTGTGAAGCAGTGCCGTGGTGCCCACCTTCTCTAGGCCAGGAACTGTGGCTGAGAAGTCAGGTCACCTGCCCGTGGGCGCATAGATCTGAAGCTCCTGCCCCTGGCATAGAACCATGTCCCCACTGCAGGCCAGAGCTGTCTGCCTCTCTGTCAGCAGCACCCTCTCCTGTAGGCAGCTTAGAAAACTGAGGTAGGAAGTACTGTACCTCCCCTTTGAGGTGATGGGCTTGGCAGGGTGACTGGCAACTCTATTTTTTTTAAATCTGCCCACATTTTATGCATTGGCTTCTAGGTTGATAAGGAAAGTCTGGGCCTCTAAGATCTAATTATCTTTTCTTTTTTCAAAAATAGCTAGAATATTAGCAGCTTCTAGACCAGCACGACCACTTGGAAGGCAGTAATGGTCAAAGGCAATTGAACGCAAGCACCAGTTAATTTAGTTTGAAAGAAATCTAAAGCATTAGACTTTTCACATGAATTGGAAGGCTGTTGGCCACGAGGCTTAAGAGTCAAGTCTGGGTCTCCATCGGAGCCCTGGCAGAGAGCATCTGTAGACACAGTTGCTCAGCCTCTTTCCTCAAGAGCAGTTGCATTTTGGAACCTTCACAACCTCTGCCTGCAGTAAGAACAAAGCCATTGCTGGCCTGGAGCCCGCAGGGCTTGTGAATCAGGCCCTGTGTGTTCTGCATGGTCTCACAGACGGGCCTTTGTGAAGGACCGGCCAACTGCACTGTGGCCGTGAAGTGCCCCCCGCCATCACCCCTCCTAGCTGTTTGCTTTGGATCTGAAAGCCCGTTGAGATGGTACTTGGAGTCGGGGGAGGAAGCAGCATGTTGGAGGACAGAGAATAAATTCAGCAAAAGCACAGAGTAAACTGCAGGTTTTGAACCACAACTCAATATCCAGGGTGCAAGGGTCAAGCGCCCCTCCAAATTAGAGTCAAAGCTCTAGTTCTGTGCAGGTTCCGAGTCCTTCATCCACCCCAGCCAGACCCACAAGCCCTTCATTTGGCAACGGGGACTCATCCACACTTTGTTTTCACACATAACCGGTTTTTAATTAAATTTGACTTTTTCTCACATCTGTTGGGAAGGCCAGTCCCCTTTGGAAGTGGCAAGCACAGAAGCAGAGAAAGGCTGGCAAGGGGGCAAAGCAAACAGAGCAGAGCCCTTCAATCTCTCCCATTTTGATGGGGAAATGGGCTCCAAGCAGGCTTCTGCCCAGAGATTGTTCTTGTTCGAGGGTCATTATCCATGGAGATTAGTCGCCCAAGCCTCTGGAATCCCAGCCACTCACAGAAGCCTGGGTAGGTAGCCAAGTGTGACCCTTGCTCCCGACCGGAACTTGCTCAAATCTTGTCTTTTTCTCTCTCCTCCCTTCGCCCCTCCCCTCCTGGTGCTTGCTCCCTACCCCGTTCCCCTGCCCACAGAGATCTGCGCTGCGGACTGTGGCGGCCATGGTGTCTGCGTGGGGGGCACCTGTCGCTGCGAGGATGGCTGGATGGGGGCAGCGTGTGACCAGCGAGCCTGCCACCCGCGCTGTGCCGAGCATGGGACCTGCCGGGACGGCAAGTGCGAGTGCAGCGTGGGCTGGAACGGCGAGCACTGCACCATTGGTATGGCGGCCGCAGGCCGGGTCCCTTGTCTAGTCTGCAGGACATCAATGTCTGTTGGGCCCTTCAGGGCCAGCCTGAACCTCCATCGCATGTGGGAAGGGGCCAAAAGTCCTTTCATCTGGTGACATTATGAATGGCTTTTTCTAGACATCGATTGGATTTAAATTCATTCACAATTTAGCATTTTCTACCTTAGTCTTCCTGATTTGCATTTCCCGCGCCCCAGTTAGTTGGTTGCAGGTGTTGCCCTTTCACCTTACCAGGACTAGATGCAGTACAGCTCAGTGCTCAGGAATAAGCCAGGTGACTGCCACTTAGCAGCCGTAGGCAAGTCCCATCACCTCTCTCAGCCTGGGTTTCCTCTCATAAGATGGGGACAATAAGGCACGAGAAGAGCTTAGCAGAGGCTGGCCCGAGTGGAGTGCTCGGTCCACCCAGCCACTATTAGCAATTGTGTTACCTGCTTGGGCAGCTCTGGCACAGCCCTGGCCTCCACACCCATTGACCTAGGAGGCTGCCACAGAGGCTGAAGCCCCAGGAGAGCTCTCCACAGACCCTGGCCACATCTGCACTCTGCCCTTCCCTGTCCTCAGCTTCTGTCCCATCTGCGTTTGTCTCCTTTCTCCTCACTTGGGGGCTCCTCCACACAGGCCCCTACTGAAGCAGCCCTGTTGGCAGCTTTAAAAACAAGCTGATCACTTCACTCCCCGTCTCTCTGCTTTTCCTGCTGGTTTTGTTGATTTTAAACACAGCCAGACGTTTTGCTTGGTTTATTATCCTGGAATGAACACTCACCGAAAGCTCTTTATTGAATCAACTGGTTTGTGGATGTGTGTTTTAACTTCTTCCCTTGGCGTTTTTCTGAAGGAAGGGTCTGTAATCAGATGGTGAGCACATGGCTGTAGGAGGCAGGATTCCAGGTGCCTCTCTGGCTCAGAAAGTGCCCTCGTAGCTCTTACAGAAACTGGAAGACAATCCCTTAAGCTTTTGAAGGACAAAAGAATTTTAGGCAAATGGAACTACCTCTTATCTTTTTATGGGTTTTTTTAGTCCTCTTCCTTTTCCTTTTGCCATTTGCCACCGAAGATTAGTTTATAGTCTTGATCCCTGACCCTGAAACACCACATATAAATGGCCATTGAATGCCTTACATTTTTAGTAACAGTGACTTCTACTTTTTTGAATATTTACTGTGTACCAAGTGCAGGGCTAAAAAAACTAGAACTGCTGCATTCTGTACTCCTAGCACAGTGAAAAGGTATGGTTTACTTTCTCCTTTACAGAGACCTGAGGCTAAACATCATGTAACTTAAAGAGGTACAGCAGGAATTGCAACCTGATTTTTCTCCTCATCAGCTGTTTGCTCTGCAGTCTTCACGGGACAAAGCCTAGATTTCCACTTAGACTCCCGTCTCTCACCTGGGCCTCACCTTTTTATTTCTTAGATGCACTGAGTTCTTCCCCTGATCTGTGTAGCCTCCCACTCCTAACAAAGCCCCTCCCTAGTGAAGGGTGATAGTCCTCCATACTCCTCCCTTATCACTGTCCAGGAAACTCCTCACCAAGGACTGGCTTTCCCATGTCATCCTAGGGGCTGTCTTGAAACTGTTTTCCCCACTCCTTCATTCTGTGCATGACTGAGGATGAACTGACCTTTCAGACTCCCAGCTCGAAGATATCCCATTGTTATTAAAAAAAATCAGAGCCTGAGGACAGCACATTCTGTTTTCACTCCTACTTGCTCACAGATTCCTCTGCTCGCCTTAGCAAATGCCAGGAAGTTTATATCAGCTCTTATGAGACAAAACATCTCATCTGAGTCAAATGACTGGCGACTTCAGGCCTTAGTCCAGTCATACACAATTCATGATAGGGCTTATGGGAAGGCTGGGCTATATCTAGTAACTTGGCAATATTTATCAGCCTGACTTTAAGGAGGTCCCATTTATTTTGATCCCAGGAAGTCAGACCATTCTCTCTGCCTCTCCCACTCACCCTGTTGTCAGTCTTGAAGAAACTTTCCTCCTTGGAGTTGCAGAGGTGGATTTTCCCTTGCAGATAGGAAATGCATCAAGGTAAATGTGCACGATATAAAAGGAAGGTTGACAGCCTTAAATACCAGAAAAATGTTATAGGACATTGAAGACGTAATGGACTAGTTACAGTGGTTCAGATGAAAGGACTTTGGCTCAGAATTCTATTACCTTTCATTGTCTGGTAAGCATTTTCTTTGTCCTTGTCTGATTTCCCTGCATGGCAACCTTCTCTCTATGGATCTCTACTGTGGCCAGCTGCATCTTCATGAGAAACTGAACACCTCAGCTGAAGGAACACTTCAACACGCCTGTAGTATAGAGGAGAAGGGGGAATGAAAATTAAAGAAATGATAGTAGATGCCTTCCCTTTTCTTGTTGAAATGGAAATGAGAAGAAATCCTTTTTAATCTTTGATGATAACAAGGAGTATTTTCTTATGTTTCCAGGGAAATTCACTCCCAGTGAGGGTCATTTAGGAAAAGAAAATAACTGCTGATGTGAAAAGTTAGAAATTTGAATTGTTAAATGTTTTTCATTCTATCAGATTTCGTTTTTTATGCAGTGGGTCATTACCAGGCAGCGACTTCTTACACTGCAGTCTAGCCATTTCCCACAGCAGAGGAAGAGCTGGTGTCCATGACACCAACTTGGAGACCTCCAAGTAGTGGAAACAAAAGAGAGGAGGCTCTGTTTTTTATACACTGCTGCCTCCACAAATAGGAAAGAACACCTTGATTAACCTACAGGAAGAATGAGTTCAGAGAATAAGAGGAATCTAGACTCCTTATGGCCAAGTCCCCAGTGTAAGAAGCTTTTTACCCCAATGACACTTCCCAGAGCAGATTATTATGGTAGGAATTAAATACCTTTATCCCCCTCCCGTATCTTTCACAGAAGCAACTTGATTTTTCTCAGAAGAGGTTGGTTTTCAGAAGAAAGGGGAACTTGAGAGTGGCATTCCCTTTCATGACAGTATTTTTTTTTCTCAGAAGGCCCAGACACTTCAGTATGAAACCTCATTCCTTGTGTTAGGAGTTGCGATCTCTTTGCATCTGGAAGGAAGGTCTGTAGTAAAAGTGCGGTGGGAATCACACATGACTGCTTGGATCTCAGTTTCTCTCCCTGTGCCTCACAGAATAGGGTGGTTGAAGGAGGTCCCCAAGGGTAAGAAGTTCTAGCCCTCTCCTCTCCTGCCTGAAGAACTGTACTCCCATCAGCCTAAAACTGATTCAATTCCTCTTAGCAAGGAAGGAAAAAGGGGTTCTTCATTTTTGTCTCTGCTTCCTTGACACTAACAGCCCTATGGCATATATGGAACCCAGTTTTCCTAGTCTAGCAGTTAAGGTAAGATGGATTGATTTGGATCTGTATCTCAACTATAAGGTCAACACAGTCTTCAAAAGCCTATTTTTGGGTGTTTTTTCCAGAAATTTTTATGGATCCCTTAAATTCAGGGCTTGACTTCTGATTTCCATAGCAAAATCTAAAAATCATAGTTAAATTTGAGAAGGTGTCTAATTTTTTCCTGTTTCTCTTAAAACACTACTAACATTTTGGATCGATTGTATGTTGATTTTGATTATTTTATTCACCTCGATGCTTCTCATCTATAAGGGCTCAGAACATGTGTGTGTGTGTGATGCCAGCTTCTGATTACATTTATAAAATCCAACCTTGACCCCAAAGCTGTGATTGTTCAAAATGCCAGATATACAGAATTATTTACTCAACTTCAGGAAAGCTGTCCAATCATATAAATCCTGATTCTTAAACAAAAGCCTCCTCTGGGAGTAAAGATCAAAATAATACTCTGATGGTGCAATTACTTGAATGAGCAAAACCAGACCTCATGAAGCAGGGAATTTATAAAGAAAGCCACAGAATCTTTTGGAGTGCTTTGTCCATTTTTGAATGCTAGTGCTCAGGTTTCTTTTTCGCAATCAGACAATTCTTCACCAAGAGCTCACGAGTCACCCACAAAATGCCAGCACTTGTGTGGTAACCCTGCTCCTCCCTCAGAAGCTGACATCCAACAGGACAAATTGTGACAAGGAGAGAGAGAGAACTTACAGGGATCTACCTCAAGCTATCAGAGCATGGGTTGATTGCCGATGATGCTGGGAGACTGCAGCACACGTGTGATAGAGGTGGGAAGCTGGAGGCAAGCTGTTGGGATTTGTAGGTTCCTTTCAGGGTGGGTGCCATTGGCCACTTATTCACCAATCCTCATCCAAAGAGAGAAGAGCATGACTGTGTCCAGGATATTAACAAGAACATCTCTTTAGTGCCTTGTCTCCAAGTCTGGGCAATTATAAGCAGAACACATTCCACCTGTTTCATCTGGCCTAAGGTGGACCAGTGACGCAGCTGTTAGAGTTGACCGGAGGCTCCTGAAGAAGAATGGAAAGCTTCTTTCTGTGTTCTTTATAACCTTGACAGGGACCCTGAAGCTTCTGAGGTCATCTTGAGAGAAATTCATAGAAGCCTTTATTGGTACAAGCAAGTCACTGGAAGAAGTGCTCATACTGGTGGTCATAGACATACCAAAGAGACCTAAGAGCTCCCAGACCAGCCTCATAACAAAAGCTCAGAGTCTGTATCACATGATACACATGAATAACAAGAAGATAGTATGCATTTAGGAAACATTTGTGCAATGGCAAAGAAATAAATATGGCCCATGAGCAAAGTTGACTGCACTGCTATCACCCTCATCCTGGAGTCCCAAGAAGAAAGATGCAGAAATTTTGTGAAGATGCGAGAATTTGGTGAAGTCTTCTGAATCTATCTTCCATAAAGCAAGCTTATGAACTTTGCATCATCTTTTCTTTAAAGTTGGTACTTCAAAGCCACAAATTTTTAAGTGGTTGTACTTAAGAGCATATGGGTCAAGATTCCCAAGCAATAACAGCAGCAACAGTACGAGTTTCTGCATATGCCTTTTATAAATAAATGCCATTTGAC